TAATTCATTCCCCTTTGAAAATAATCTCATTTGGTAATTTAATTTATTAATTGATTTATGTTTTTACTGCGTGTCCAGCCACTAGAACAAAGCTCCCTGATGACTGAGACCTGTCAGTCTGGTTCACTGACAGAACCCTAGGACCCATTGCAGCTTCTGATACAAAGTAAGCAATCAATATACATTTGTTTAATGAAAGATTATTTAGTTTTTCTGCTGCTTATCCAGTTTTTAAAAATAGTCATATGCTTCCTCTCATATTTCTGAAGTCCCTTCTCTGCTTTAGCTGTTGTTTCCCCCTCCTCCCATTTTATCTTGGTTGTTTTATTTCACTTAATTTGTCCTTTTACTTTGGAAGAGACTAGTTAAAATACAATATTGACATTTATCATATCTTTTCAGCATTTTCAACTTTTTTCTTATACCTAATTTTATCTTCCTATTTCTAAATTCTGTTAAAATATTTATTTTTTAAATAATTATTGTTTTATTACCATTTTATTAGTATATTCTTATGTTAATAAATATTTATTTTAGTCTCACAAAATAGTTTTTATTTCCTCAAACAACTTCCTGCCTTTCATCACTTTTTTTCCTTCTTGCTTTTATTAATTAATTTATTCATTTATTTTTGGCTGCGTTGGGTCTTCGTTGCTGCGCGCCGGCTTTCTCTAGTTGTGGTGAGTGGGGGCTACTCTTTGTTGCGGTGCGCGGGCTTCTCCTTGCAGTGGCTTCTCTTGTGGAGCACGGGCTCTAGGGACGCGGGCTTCAGTAGCTGTGGTGCTCGGGTTCAGTTGTGGCTCGCAGGCTCTAGAGTTCAGGCTCAGTAATTGTGGCGCACGGGCTTAGTTGCTCCGCGGCATGTGGAATCTTCCCGGATCAGGGCTCAAACCCGTGTCTCCTGCATTGGCAGGCAGCTTCTTAACCACTGTGCCTTCAGGGAAGTCCCTCTTTCTTGCTTTTAAATAAGAAGTGGCAGCATTTCGTACATAGAAATGGGGCTAGATATGTCCCCACAGACATCTTTATTATTCCATCGTCCCATAGGTTCTCTCTATTTTTCAATAGCCTATGTTTAATCTCAATTGTTAAACTTAATCCAAATCTGGGTGGGAGTGTTGGTTAGCTCCATTTTTACACATTAGACAAGTCAAACACCTGGAAGCCAATAGCCACTCAGATAAAACTTGGTAATGGCTTTTATCTGACTTACAGCCCAATTTAGAATGAAGTTCTAAAAACTACCATATTGGAAACACCCAGTTATCTGGTATGAGCACTTTTTAGAAGTATCCATAGTGTAGATAAAGAAGAATCCAGGAAAAAAATCCAAATCGTTTTGAACACGCCTGATATGAATGGAGGCATAAGAGGTGGATAATATCCAAACTATTAGCATTTTAATATGTCAGGTCTGTTCTAAGAACTAACTTCAGAAAAATGAATTTTTTTGGTTACCAAGTTGGGAGAGGAAAGAACACTCCCTGAGTCGAGATTATTTTCACTTCTGCTCCCTGACATGAAAACTAAGGGGAAAGTGACCAAGGCAGTACTCATCCCCTCTAGATTTTCAGGAATGAGCTCCTCCTGCCCTGAAAACTGAGATGTTTTCTTCCTTTTCTCATCCCTCTCTCAGGTAAAATCTTCCTGAGAAGATATCTAGGCAAATACTCTAACTGTTTAACTTTGGGTAAGATCTGGCCCTTCACAAAAGAGTCTGTGTCATTAAGAAGCAGTGTAGGAGGTCCTAACCCTTCCAGTTAATTAATTTTGGAGAAACAAGAACTCCCTTGTTGAGTAGGCTAGAGGTCCTGCAGAGAAAATTGTGTTACAGATTTTAACTCTAAGTTACCTGGCCTGCTAACTTTATTTGCAGAAGAACTTTGGAACATCTGTCTCCTTCCTGACGAGGATTCCAATTTATCTGGGAACTCTTACCTCAGAATGTAGTGCATTTGGTGCCCTTGCTACTCACATTAAGACATTCCCAAATCCCCTTCTGATATCACAGATGCCAGGGTTGATTTCCCTTTGTCGCTAATTCTACTGCCACCAGCCATAGGACACCATCAAGCCCCTACCATACATTGCCCCGCACCTCTGCAAAGGGATTAGCTCAGAAAACTTAACACAATTTCCCACCACATAGAACTGGTTATCTATGCAGTACCTTAGCCGGGATCAGCTAGGTCTATTTAGCAGTGGTATCTTCAGCAAATGTCGTACGGCAGAAGCCTGAACCCAAAGTTACAACCAATGAAAACACATGCATCTTTTATAATACCATGATTCTACATTCTAGAACACATCCCACAACGGCAAAAATTCTAAGAATCTGGAGAGACAGGGAACAAAGACTGTGACCTCATAAACTTCCATTCATCTAAGTTCCAGTGACTATTTCAGCATTGTCTGGTTTGAAAAAGAGGGGCATTTCTTCCCAGTCCTAATGTGGTTTTCTGAATCTAATCTAGTGTGTCCAAATATACATGTCACCTTTGTAGAAGTAAATGGGTACATCAGATGATTTGTTCCAAATCAATAGTTACTTTATGTATGTGTTTACATCCATGCACATGTGTATCTTTAAAATGCCATTGACACATGCATATTCATTACTATATATTTACTCTGTCCTGAATTGTAATTGTGGATGATTTAAATACTAGAAGTTGGAAATTATGATGCAAGTTATGGTAAAGCCTAATTCTTGGGTAATCTGAACTGGAAAGATTATATCCCCATAGCTCATGTTTCTAGGGGCAGCTATTCTAAGTCCCGAAGAGAGGAGCATATGATCAAGCTAATCTATTACTCAGTGTCAGTTTGTGCCCAAGGGGACAAAATTCAAATCCACCCATGGCTTTCAGTCATAGGTTTTGCACATCTTCAACTAACTACTGTGAAATTATTCCCCAAAGTGATTATACCAATTCACTCCCATCAGCAGTGTATGAGTATTCCTGTTGCTTCACGTCCTTGCTAACACTTGGTATTGTAAGTCCTTAATTTTTGTCCATAAGATGGCAGTAAAATTATAATTAATTTGCATTTCCTTGTTTAACACGTCTGTTCACGTCTGTTGACTCATCCTGTTTCCATTACTGTCAATTGTCTAGTCATTTTTTTATTTTTCTACTGTATTCACTAAAAATATATTAGTTGGGTGCCTATTATGTACCAGGTACTATTTCAGGCACGTGCGATATGGTAGAAAATAATTTCCATCCACATATGGCTTATATTCTAGAAAGGATGATACCCCAAAACAATATAAGTAAGATAATTAGATAGCATATTAGAAGTTGCTAAGGGCTATGAAGAAAACTGAAGCAGAGAAGAGGGTAAGGAGTGTCTTCGTGGCAATCCACAATTTTAAATCTCATGGCCAGGGCAGGCCACACTGGGAAGGTAAAACTGTGCAAAGATTTGAAAGGGGTGAGAGAGTGAGTCATGCACCCATCTGGTGGTGGTGGAAGGGCTTTCCAAAGAAAGGGTTAGAAAAGCAGCTACCTGAGTATAGAGAAGGGCGCTAGAAGGTTAGGTCTGAGAGGTGAGGGGCAGAGGGGACAGTCATGTGAGACATTGTAGGCAGATGCAAGAACTGTGGTTTTTACACCTTGAGTGAAAAATCATGGAAGAATTTTGAACGAAGTATTTTCTAAAAGGATTATTCTAGCTACTGGGTTGAGAATGATAACAGCAAAATAAAAAATAACAAAATCACTTGTGTGGTTCTGTGTTCCATGCACTGAGTCAGGCACCTTACATATATTAACTCGTTTAATATATTCCAGAGAGGTAGGCAAGAATGGAAGCAGGAAGACCTGTTCTGGTTATTAGTTCTTTTTTTTTTTAATTAATTTTTATTGGAGCATAGTTGCTTTACAATGTTGTGTTAGTTTCTGCTGTACAGCAAAGTGAATCAGTATACATATACATATATCCCCTCATTTTTAGATTTCCTTCCCATTTAGGTCACCACAGAGCACTGAATGGAGTTCTCTGTGCTATACATTAGGTTCTCATTAGTTATCTATTTTATACATAGTAGTGTATATATGTCAATCCCAATCTCCCAATTCATAGTTCTTTTCTTACTGATTTATGTTAAGTTCCTTATATGTTCTAGGCACCACTTATATTTTGGTGATTATATGTGGTTGCAAATATCTTCTCCCATTCTGTGGGTTGTTTTAACATTTAAGTTATATATATTCTCAATTTGTTGTGCTCTTCTCCCATTGACTTTTTAAGCAAATGCTCTTTTTAACTCCAGTCATCCCACAATTTTCAGTTATTTCTTCTTCCCTGCTACCATTGCACTTGGCACAAACCTCTTTTGGAACACTTAACAAATTACTTATTAATGCATGTCTTCGTCATTGTTCTGTAAATCTCGCGATGTGAGATGCTGTTTTACAAACTATGTCCCAGCAACTAACACATAACGGGTGTTCAGTACATGTTTGTAGAGGTAAGTGAAAAAAAGGGGTATGGTCCGGTTATCACTTCACCTGGGAAAATGAGAAAATGGATGTTGTACTTCAGTGAGTAAAATGAAAGAGAAAAGGCTTGCGATGGGAAGTGTCCTCTGGCTCTGCTTTGCCTCATAAGACTGAGAATACTGAACTAACCTTTGCACCTGAGAGATCAGTTAGACGAAAGCTCCACGACCACCCTCATTTTACTGCACACTACGCTGTGGAAGAGAGGAATTCACCAAACGTTAAGACGAATGCAGGTTCCTAGAGCGACTATGACCTCAATCTCCTGGTGTGTTTTTGTAGCTTGGAGGGTTTCCCCCAACCTTTGGGTAGGCAGGCAGCGTGAGAGGGACAGGAACTGAGACATAAGACACCTAACGTAACCTTTGCCCCACCCTCCTGGTTTAGAGGCTTGTGCACTCATTGCGCATGCGTCACTTTTTCTTTTAGGAATGGGCGGTGCAGCGCCTTTGCTCCGGTAAAGAGCCTCAGGGGGCGGGGCCAAGCTGTTTCCAAGGTGACGGAATGGCGGCCTCTGTGGTGGATTGAGCGGGTCTGGGCGAGTTCCCAGAGGGCTGCGCGTCCTGGTTGCTCGGCGCTGTCATGGCGGGCTTGCTGAAGAAGGTGAGGCGGGTGGAGGTCACTGACGGAATTTAGACTGTGGGGATGGAGTCAGCCCGCGGGTGGTGGCCGGAACTGTCACGGGCTTGGCGGTGCTTCTGGGGGACTCATTTTGCTCTGCCCTTAGGGGTGACCAGTTTAGCGGCTCCGATGGGAGAGAGAGAAGAAAACTCCGAACCAGCGGCTTTGAGAGACCGGTAGCTGGTTTTAGGCCAGTTATAGCCAGGACAGTAGTGGTTTTGCTTGTCTTAGCGTGGGTACGCGGGGAATTGTAGTAAACAGCATGAATCGTGTTTTGTGTTTTGAACAGACCACTGGCCTTGTGGGATTGGCTGTATGTGAGAGTCCACACGAGGTATGTACCTCTTTTCTTCCTTCCTGAGTTTCCAAGGAAGCCTAGAACCCTGCGACCTTGTTTCTTCAATGGTTAACGGGATACAGATATTGCAAGCCCCAAATTACAACTGCGTGAGCTCTTGAGTCAACAGCGGTATTTAGTACCTGGTTTATTTGGTACCACGTTTTTGTTTGGTTGTTTTGCCATGATCTCTTTCTCAAACCATCTTCTTGTTGAGTTTTTCCGTGGCATTCTAGTGGCTCACTGGTACTTTTGCGAGTGTCTTCCCAGATCTGTATCGCCATTTTCCACCTTTTCCCCCGCCTCACCTTTTCTTAGGTGCCTTAGATTCTGTACAATTTCGATTACCAAAGATAGCGGCCTAGCAGTTGCCGCCTTCTGTCATCAGTTTTCCCTTCTAGTAGGTCTTTCCCGTCAGTATTCGGACATTCTTCCAAAAAAAAAAAAAAAAAGACCTCCCTGGATCGTTCTCCTCCCTCCTATCATCACGCCTTTTCTCTCCTTCCTTCCCTTTTACAGGTAACTCAAAAGTTATCTGTACTTAACGGTCTATTTCTCTTATCCATTTTGAAGGCACTCCAGTCAGGCTTGGCCAGAACTGTTCTTTTCAAGGTCACCATGCTGCTAAATCCGATGGTCAGCTCACGTTTCTCATCTTTATTCACCCAATAGCAGCATTTGACTTATTTGGCACTGTCCATCAGACACTTTACTGTGCTTCAAGACACCTCAATCTCCTGGTGTGTTTTTTTCCCCTACTTCTTTTGGCCTTCTCCTTTTCTGCTTATGCCTCATATCCCTACTTCTAAATGGTGGAGTTCTAAGACTTCGTTTTTGGGTCTTTTCTCTATTTGTATTCGCTCTCTGTTGGTGTCTGGACCCATTCCGATGGTTTTAAATACCACCTACACACTGATAACTCTTGGGTTTCCGTGGCAAGCACACTGACCTCTCCCTTTATGGAAGTCTTGTATATTTCATTACTTAGTGGACATCTCCACTTGGATGTCAGGCAGGCAACCTAAGCTTAACATGCCCAAAATTGGGTTCCTGATCTTCTCCCTAAAACCTGCTCTTCTCTCAGGTTTGCTCATCTCAGTGAACAGCAGTTCCATTTTTCTATTCACTCAGTCAAAAGCCTTGAAATCATCTTGCATTCTTTTCTTTCTCTCACACCCCACATTGGGTACTTCAGTAAATCCTCTGGGTTCTACCTTCAAATTATATCCTTTTTTTTTTTTTCTTTTTCTTTTTTGGCGGTACGCGGGCCTCTCACTGTCGTGCCTCTCCCCTTGTGGAGCACAGGCTCCAGATGCGCAGGCTCAGCAGCCATGGCTCATGCGCCCAGCCGCTCCGTGGCACACGGGATCCTCCCGGACCGGGGCACGAACCTGTGTCCCCTGCATCGGCAGGCGGACCCCCAACCACTGCACCACCAGGGAAGCCCTATATCCAAATTTTGATTACTTCTCACCACCTCCTCTACTACCGTATTCTCAGCCGCCATCATCATGGCTGTGGATAATTGCATTTGCTTCCTAACTGCCTCTCCCTGCTTTTCACTGCCTCAGTTTGATCTTTTTTCAACAAAAGTCAGCCTGCTAAAATGTGAGTCAAGTCATGTGACTCCTTTCCTCAGAATTCACCACTGCTTTTCCATTTCACTCTAAATACAAAAGTGCTTACAGTGGTTCTCCAGATCACTATTCAACGGACTGTATTCTACTGATTTATCTTGTATGTTGTCTCTCTCTACTGGACTGTAGGTTATCATCAAGACAGGGATTTTTTATTCTTTTGTTCACTGCTAGAACTATGCTAGCACATGGTATGTGCTCAGTAACTAATGTTTGTTGAGTTAATGTCTTGTACTCGTTATGAGTTCATAATGCCTTTAGACTCATTGTCTAAAACTGAACTCATGGTTTTCCCTTTCTAAATCTGTTTCTTCCACTGTGGAGTATTTTTCTTGATGGTATCAAAGTCTTTCTACTCTGCAGGCTGGGAATTGGACATCATAGTTGATACTTCTCTTACACTGTTTTATCTTCATGTTCACTCCAGCGATGAATTTTGTTGATCCTTTTCTATGACAACTCTCCATTGTGACTTCTCTTTTTTTGTCCTACTATTATTACCACAGTTTAGTCCCTTGTTCTTGTGTAGAGAATTGCAACAACCTTGTTACTGGCCTTCTTCTCTGTTGCTCCTTTATCCTATTCTTTTAACTCACTACTGCCAGATTAATTTTTCTGAAGCACACATCTAATCACAATTTCCCTAAATCTTTTAATTGCCCACATAATAAAGCCCAAATGCTTTAACTTGCCATGCAGAACCACATACAGTCTGATTTGTTTTTTCTCCAGCCTTATCTCCAAAGCATTTTCTCTATGTCCTATATTCTAGCCATGTGCTGTCCAATAAAAATATAATGCAAGTCATAAATATAAACCATGCTTGTAGTACAAAATTTTCTAGGAGTCACTTTTTTTTAATAAGGAAAAAGTTAATATATTTTATTTTACCTAACATATCCAAAATATTACCATTCAATATATAATCAATATAAAAAATTAATGATATTTTATAGTCTTTGTTTCCTACTAAATGTTCAAAATCCAGTGTGTAGTTACACTTAACAGCACATCTTAGTTCAGATTTGTCACATTTCAAGTGCTCAATGGCCAAATTTGGCTAGTGGCTACTATATTAGACAACACAGTTCAAGGGAAATAGAACTATATAATAATTACTTTACATTACCTGTATTTTCTGCCATTCAATCCTCTGTATGTATTCTATGTGTAAGATTGCCTTTTCTAACATCTTCAAATGTCTAAGTCCTACCATCCCTCCAGGTCTATCTCAGATGCTGCCTTTTCTATGAAACCTTCTCTGACATCTGCTGATGTGACTCTTCTTTCCCCAATAGAATAATAATGCTAACATTTATTGAAACTTATGTGTGCCAGGTACTGTTCTAAGTTATACAAAATCCTATGAAGCTGATATTATTAACATCCCCATTTTAGAATCCATGTCTCTTACCAGGCCTTTCTATTGTCATGCCCTTTGCTAAAATTGAGAAGAAATGAGGCTAAACCACCCCTCACTCACACTCACACACACACACACACAATTTAGATTCTATGTTATCTAACAAGCTCTACATTAGTATAGTAAAATACCCTCTATTACAGAACATCATATTCAAATATAGAAGTAATGTCTAAATATGCAGAGTACTTTTTAAGAAAAATGATTCTTAGAGGCCCTTAAGGTTGGTTTTGTTTATTCATATATATGGTGAATATATATGAATGAAATTAGGTGTTAGCATCTACGGTTTCATACAATTAAACTAAAACAAATTTCAAATTAAATTTCAAAGAAATAATGAAAAATTCTCATCACATATGTATATTTATGATTATACTTAATATTTATGAACTGTGAATTAGGGTCTACTATAACAACTTTTTATCGTATGACTTTATTGCTGGCTGCTGTATTGACCTTTAAGTTCAGTGTGCTTTAATATGTGCTGCTTTAATATGTGCAGTGACTCAGTTTTCTTGCTGCTTTTTTCTGTTGAGCCTGCGGTGAAATCTTCACATCGTACCAACTTGATCATAGTCACTAAGCATAAGCACTGAAGTATCATCACTACATTCCGTTAAATTTGATCATACTGATAATATACTGCTTATATATTTTTCTATTTCTATAGAAATCCAAATAAAAATTTTTTTAAAAATCAGAATTTGCAGTGCTTAGGACCTCAATTTGAGACATACTGATTTAGTAAGTGATTTAATTTACCAAAAAGATTGTTAGCAATAAGTTAGAATGCAGTTTTATTTTTGTTATCATACCTTTAACTTCTGTACAACTTTTGTCATACATACAAATATGAAAAGTTTCCATCTTTATATTCACATTTTTCCTAAGCTGTAAAGGGATCGATAGGCATAGACATGAAGAAGTTGCAGCAAGGAAAAGTTAAATGCTTTTTTAAAAAATAGTTGTGAATTTTTTTTTTTTTTTAATAATCGGTGAGACTTTTTAAATCTTTGGTGACATTTTAAACTGGAAATTTGTATTTTTTGTCTTTTCAGAGGCTAAAAGTATTGTATACAAAGATTCTTGATGTTCTTGGACAAATCCCTAAAAATGCAGCATATAGAAAGTATACAGAACAGATTACAAATGAGAGGCTGAGCATGGTTAAAGCGGTAAGTAGCTAACTTGATTTTGTTTTCTTGGATGTATGGTATCCAATGCAACATTTAACAAAAAAAAAAAATTCAGTTGATTACTTTTTGCATATTCTGCAGACTCTCCTTTCTATTCTCCTTCCCTCCATGCATTTCTTCTATCCTTTCTCCTTTTCATTCATCAAACTCCTGTTTATTGAGTACCTTTTATATGACAGGCACTATAAATACAGGAGTGAAAGAATAAGATCAAGTCCCTTCCTTAAGTTAACATTATAGCTTTCATTTATCTCTCTTACCTGTCTAGTCCTTTATTGATCTTTTACTTCTTATCTATAGATATATCAATCTTTATTTCATTTTTCTAGTTTTAGAGTAGAGAAGAATGAAAACAAAACCGAAAAAAATATGTATATTGTGTTTAACAACTGTCAGGAATAACTGTTTTAAAAAGTGCTTTGTTATAAAAAGAAGAGGACCAAGTTAGTCTCTTAACTACCAAAAATTATATTGAGCTTTGTTATGGACAGAATGTTTGTGTCCTCCCAAATTCATATGTTGAAGCCCAACCCTGCAGTGTGGAGTAATTAAGGTTAATGAGATCATAAGAGTGGTACACTGATCCAGTAGGATTAGTGTCCTTCTAAGAAGAGATACCAGAGAGTTCGTGTTCTCTGCGATGTAAGGACACAGCAATAAGGTCGCTGTCTGCAAGCCAGGAAGAGAGCTCCCACCAGAAACGGACTCTGTCGTACCTTGACCTTGGACTTGCAGTATCCAGAATTGTGAGAAAATAAATTTTTCTTGTTTGAGCCATCCAGTCTATGTATGGTATTTTGTTATGGCAGCCCAGGAAGACTAATACAAGCATTTTACAGCTTCTGAATCAAAGGCCCTAGACAGGCACACAATAGACTGCTGCTACTTCTTTTATACCAAACTATATTGCACTGTTGTTAAATTTCCACACTAGCAGTTATTTCATGGACTTTTGTAATTATCCAAAATAGTGTTCATAAACTCCAAAAGTTTAGGACCACTTATACATGTAATAAGTGGCCCTAATATAGTTTTCTTATTATTAGATCACCAAACTCTGTAGTCCAGAGAGAATTCTTACATTTTCTGCAGGTATATGGCAAAACAGTGCAATTCGATTTGGAGCTTTTATTCTTATCTTGGCAGTTCTGGAAGTAATTCACAGATTACAGGTCTCTAAAGGGGAAATTAACATTTCTTTTGAATTCATCTTTCTTTAAGGAAAATGGGCTTATGCATTTTTTCCCATCTCATGTAAGAAATTTCTTTTTCTTTTCATGAGGTCAGTCTCTTCAACTGTCTTTTATTCTCTGCTTTCCTTCTCCATAACCGTGTTCCCCTTTAATCATTTCTTCTCTGTTTCTCTTTTAGCCTTCCATTTTATTATCATCTTTCAGTTAGCCTCAAAATGTATTTAGCTTTTTCCTACCTTAAAAGAAAAAGAAAACTTATCCTTATATTTTCCTTTACTTTTGCCAATGTCACCCAAAGAAGAGTTCACTGTCATTGCTTTCACTTAATAGTTCTAAAATTCTTTTCTCTGACCTAGGCTGTTTCAGTTGCCTTATAACTAAATTGGTCTGTGTTTAGTTCTATCATATTTCATTATATGCCCCACACTGCCAATAGAGTTTTTTTTTCAATATGTAAATCTGATCATGAGATCTTCCTGCTTAAACCCTTACTATGGTTTCCTGTTCAGTGTTTCTCAAAGACTGAATTTAAGGATTTATGCTGGGCTGGTTGTGTGAAACTCATCTAGCTACCTTTATCTGCATCATTTTGACGTATAGCCAGGTTTGGGAGCCACTGGCTTATAGGATGAAGTCTTTAGCATGGTATGGAAGCCCCCCCAAGATCTGGCTCTAAGTTATCTTCTCAGTCTTATCTTGTCATTTCTTGTTTTGTACACTATACTTCAGTAATACCAGACTTCTGACAGTTATGTGAGTTCCATGCAATTTTATTTTTGGTTTCTTTGTATTTTCTCTTCCCTCTTCCTGGAATACCCTTACCTTGTCTGCCAGGCAGTTCTTACTCAGTCCTCAAGATCCATCACTTCCTCTGTGAAGCCTTTTATGTCTTCTGTACTAGTCCATAAGCTACTTGTGAATTGCATTCATCTTTTTATCCCAAGAATCTAGCTTAGTGCCTGACACTGAATAAGGTCCTTAGAAATATTTGTTTATCCAAAAGGCTGTATACAAATAATTTTTAAAAACACCAAGCGCTATGTAATAGCTGTATTGCTGAATCCTGTTTGATAAAATTAACGCAGATTTTTAATCCCACCCATAGAGCCATGGAATCTTCAGGGAATATTGTAATGATTATAAAGTGTCTAAGCCTAAAATGGAAATAAAAGTAAATATTTTTTTCAGATTATACTAGGGAGATAGTAATAGCATAGTGGTGAAAAGCATTGGTTTGTGGTCTTTCCAAAATTTTCATCCCAGCTCTAATACTTTGTGAGTTGGCATAGTGCCCATTTTCTCTGTCTCAATTCCCTCATCTATAACTTGGATATAATAATACCTGCCTTGAACACTTGTTGTTAGGACTGAATGGGTAATATATGTACAGTGCTCAACACAGGTGCAAGCATATAGTGAGCATTCAGTACATGGTACCTTATTAAGCTTGGTGGCATTATGCCATTAGTAAATAAAACTCACATTATTGACCCAACTTAAGTAAGACAAATTTTGAATTGTTTTCCCAACACAGGCTTTTCCTGAGTTGAAAATAATGTTGAATATTCCTTGCCTTCTCTACATTCTCCCTCCTGGGTATCATGACAGTGACCAGCTTCCCTGTTTTGTTATTAATTTTTGGCTTCATAGCTCAGTCATTTTGAGTTAAACAGTCTTTCTCAAACATGTTCATCTGCTTTGTTTCCCTCTCTTTTCTAACTACTTTGTATTTATTCAAGAAACACTTAATGCATGTCTATCTTATGCTACGTATGGTTCTGGGCATGGAAGCTAGTGCCTACATGGCAATGAACAAAACATAAAAATCCCTGCCTTGGAGATTATGCATTAATGATGGGAGGCAAAGAAATAAATAGGAAAAATAACTGAATAAAGAAGTACATTCCAGGGCTTCCCTGTGGCGCAGTGGTTGAGAGTCCGCCTGCCGATACAGGGGACACAGGTTCGTGCCCCAGTCCGGGAAGATTCCACATGCCGCGGAGCGGCTGGGCCCATGAGCCGTGGCCACTGAGCCTGCGCGTTTGGAGCCTGTGCTCCGCAACGGGAGAGGCCACAACAGTGAGAGGCCCACGTACTGCAAAAAAAAAAAGAAGTACATTCCATAGTGTGTTAGAACATAGTAAGTGCAGTGAAGGAAATTAAAGAAGGAAGAATGGTGTGTATGAGGGTGATTAGGGGTGTTACAATATGTATTAGTTTTCTATGATTGCTGTAACAAATTACAACAACCTTGGTGAGTTAAAATAATAGAAATTTATTGTCTCATATTTCTGGAAGCTAAAATTAGTATCGGGGCCAAAATCAAGGTGTCGGCAGGCCTGCACTCCCTTTGGAGGCTTTAGGATAGAATTCATTCCTTGCCTTTTCCAGCTGTGGTGGCTTTTGTTATTCCTTGGCTTGTGGCTGAGTCACTCCAGTCTTTACTTTTTCTTCTTCCATGTGTAATTTCCCTCTGCCTCTCTCTTATAAGGACACCTATAATTGTATTTAGGGCTCACTCAGATAATCTAGGATAATCTTCTCATTCCAAGATCCTTAATCATATCTGTGTAATATTTGCCATATAAAGTAACATTCATAGATTCCAGGGATTAGTTCATGTACAGTTTGTGAGGCATTATTCCAGCCTACCACAGTATAAATTATCAGAGTGGTTCTCACTAAGAAGAAGATGTATGAGCAAAGACTTTGATGGAAGTGGAGGAGCAAGCCATACAGATATCTTGGGTCAGCCAGCAGATGCCCTGAGACAGATGCCAATTCCTGTAGAAAGTAACTTTTTTTTTCTCCCTCTTTTTACTCCATTTATAGGCCAAGAAGCTACCCTATTTACACCTTATTTACATATGCATGTGTGTATATAGATCATGGGTTTCTGGCTCTCAAAAAGCTTGGTCTACTAGAAAATAAATATATGTCTTTGAATGTTCTAGTTACTATATTAACTTTTTTTTTGGAGTCAAAGTGGGGAAGCACAGTGGCTATTTTATTTTTAATTATGTTTTTTAACTTCTTATTTTATATTGGAGTATAACCGATTAACAATGTTGTGATAGTTTCAGGTAACCTTTTATTGAAGAATAATGTACATAAAGAAATGTGCAGACATTATAAGCATAGAACTTGATGTATTTTCACAAAGTAATCACACATGTCAACACTAAATCAAAAAAGAGGACATTTCCAGAATGCCAAAACCCTTTCTTGTTCTTCTCAAGGTTACTACCCTCCTGAAGATAACTATTCTTCTGACCTCTAACACCACAGATTCATTTTGCCTGGTTTTGAACTTTTTATAAGTGGAATCATCAATATGTATTTGTCTGGTTTCTTTTGCTTAATAATATGTTCGAGAGAATCATCTACGTTGTTGCATATAGTTGTAATTTGTTCATTCTCATTGCTCTATAATATTCTATTATATTCGAATACTACAGTTTATTCATTTATTCTCTTATATATGGTCATTTGGATTGTTTCTGGTTTGGGGATATAATTTATGCTGCTGTGAACATTCTTGAACATGTCATTTGGTTAATGTATTATGCATTTCTGTTTGGCATATACCTAGGAGTAGAGTTCTGGGTCATAGGGTAGCATTTATTTTTAATGCTAATGCTTAAGAGGAAATATAGGAAGTACTAAGAAAATAAAGTATTATTTTAAAATCCATATTTTAGAAAAACTGAATTAAACATCATATTCTTACCCTTGATAAGCACATCAATAAACGTTTAACACTTTTAATATTAAGACAGAAAAGCAATAAAATAGTACAGAGATGAAATGGCTCTTAACCAGATATTTGGTAAAAATTAGCAAGGGTACAATGAAAGAAAAATTAATTATATTTGTCATATTAAGTGCTTTTTGTGCTTCTTTAACTATTTTTTTCTTTTTTTCCCTTAAATTATAGGAACCAAATGTTAAAAAATTAGAAGAGCAACTTCAGGGAGGCCAAATAGAAGAGGTGATTCTTCAGGTAAAGAAAAGTTGAATATTCAGATGTTTAGCTTCAGATGTTCAAAGGCACAATGTTATAGAGGTACAAAACTCACATTCCGGAAAGAAAGGAAAACTAAACTTTTTAATTTATATCAATTCATCCAATAGAAGACTAACCACATAAGAAAATGCATACTCTGACATGTGTATGTCAGTTAAATATTTATCATTGATTATAATTTGAATTTATGAGGCTTTTGTTGGAAGTTTAGAATTTAATTAGCATGTTCTTGTTAGCCTTCCCTTAGTTCAAATTAGCAACACAGTATTATTGCTATTTGAATAATTTATCTTTTTAGATACATATATTTTTACATTTTAAAGGGTTACTATATTTTTAATATGGAAAAATACAGATCTTTTGAGTCATAAAATTAAAATGTAGTTTTATTTTTGACTCTTGAAGGTTAAATTCTTAAAATATGTTTTTGTATTTCGTGTTTTGTAATTTATACTGTTAAAGTTTTTACTCTGTCATTTGTTTTTAGTGTTTTTCTTATATATTTCTTTGAGTTTTTTTTTCAAATAAAAGATATTAACCTTAAATTTTTGCTATATTGGTTTTTTTTTTTCTTTTTTTAGTCTGTTCTTTGCCTTTTGACTTTAACTATTCTCTCCCATATGTAGAGGTTTTAAAATTTTTTACTTGGTCAAATCACTCTCCCTCTGCCCACTCCCCTTTTAATCTCCCCTCCTTCCCAATATTATATATAGGTTTAGAATGTCTTCCCCTTATAAGGGTCTGATAAATGTTTAATTCTGTTTCATGTAATTTTTACGTTTTTCATATTTTAAAAAAAGGTAAACATTTTTTTCTTACATTTTCTTGCTTGATTTTATCAAAATCTCTTACCAATAGACATAATATATAAATTTGAAAGAATTGTTAGATGGCTCTGTTAAAAGAAGAATGGAGTATTCAGACAGCAGACTGTTTCAGTCATTCAGAGGCCTATTTTCTTGGCCTTCCTATTCATTTGCCAGGCTGAATATGGTACTAGATAAAGTGTTATGGGAATTTAATGCAAACTTATTATTATTGTCTTCCTTCTGTTCCTCTTTCTTTACCTGATTTCACTTTGATCATAACTTTAGCTAGTACATTAATTTATCATGCAGTTACAGTCTTAGGGTACATTAAGTATTTTTACGTTATCTGTGCGCTTCTCAAATTTTCATGCGCTATGCTAAGGTTAAATTTTAATAATGCTTTATTTAACCCAGTAGATCTAAAATAATATCATTGAAACATATCATCAATGTAAAACATTAAGACATTTTACATTTTTTTTATACTAAGTCTTTAAAACCTGGTGTGTATTTTATACTCTCAGCACATCTGAATTTGAACTAGCTACATGTCAAGTGCTCACTCAGTAGTCACAGGTAGGTAGTGGCTACCGTACTGGACAGCCCATTTCTAGAGGGACATATGAGAGGAATGAGGAAAGGGTAGTGTGTCGGAAGCCAGAGAAGAGGGAGGGAGTGGATACAGGCACCACATGCCAGCTGAGTCCAGCTCCCTGAAGTAGGGCTGACTTAAGTGGTGTTCAGGGGTAGGAACCCTCCTCAGCATGCAGTGACTTTTTGGGGGCATAGAGAAGGCATGAATGTTCAAGAGACAAAAGTCAAAGGGCATTCAGAGAGAGAGTCATCCTTAGGGATTGTTTTAATCAGTATTTTCTCATTTCAGCATTAGGAAATACCTCTACCCCCAGATTTCTGTTTATCTACTCTTTTTAACTCTTTGTTTATATACATTTAGACTGTTGCTGCTAAACATAGATTGGCTGTTTTGCACCACTGGCATAAATGAGGCATTGCCTTTTTTTTTTTTTTCCTTAGTCGTGGCTCGCGGGCTCCTTAGTTGTGGCTTGCCGGCTCCTTAGTTGTGGCATGCGAACTCTTAGTTGCAGCATGCATGTGGGATCTAGTTCCTGGACCAGGGATCGAACCCAGGCCCCCTGCATTAGCAGCTCAGAGTCTTAACCACTGCACCACCAGGGAAGTCCTGAGGCATTGCCTTTTAACTGGATAATTATAGCCTCTGATAGAAACTAAGCATTCATTCTGTGTTTGAATTCTTTCTCTGATGTCCTGACAAGTGTTCAACAGTGTTCTTCTTCTAAGTTGGCCAGAGTTGTCATAGGTCTTTTTGCTGTGGAAAAAATGTGAAATAAGAAGATAGCTAAACAGGGAGATCAGCTCGGTGCTTTGTGTCCACCTAGAGGGGTGGGATAGGGAGGGTGGAAGGGAGATGCAAGAGGGAGGAGATATGGAGATGTATGTATATGTATAGCTGATTCACTTTGTCATACAGCAGAAACTAACACACCATTGTAAAGCAATTATGCTCCAATAAAGATGTTAAAAAAAAAAAGATAGCTAAAATATATTTGTTAAATGTGTTGTAAATTGTGTTTGAGAGGAAAAATTAAATGTAACATCTGATTAAGGAAACTGATTTGATTGATCAATAAAAATACAACTATTGTATTCTCTTACACTTCACAGATCACAATTTTACAGATTGTGTGTCTAAAGGATTATGGATCATGAAATCAGTTTAGGTGGATTGTGACTAGTATTTTTTTTTTTTACATTCAATAGAAAATAGAGTGTATGACAGCTAGTAAAGGTGATGATATTTTGAGTTTTGTTTTAGTTGTATGTGCATCTTGTGGATCCCTTAGTTAAAAAAAAAATGTTTTTAAGCGGTGGGCCATGGTAAAATAAAGTTTGAAAGCCATTAACATAGATTAAGAGACATACTTCTTCAGAGAATTTGTAGTCTAAATGGTGAAACAGACAATTAAGATCAAAAACTCACCAACTAAACTTTTGAACACTATAAAAGCAAATTTTAATCAAATAGAAGAAATCAAAAGCCATCCTTTCTTACTCATGATGATTGTGTAGCTGTGAGAATTAAGGTAATTTAATTAATGATGTTCAACATGTGATGGTGGAACAGCTTATTATGTATTAATATGAAAGAAGTAGCTCTACTAGTTTATATTTCAGTTATTAGCTGTGATAAATATCTATTAGACAATATAATCAAACGATCTTTTAAAAATTTCTTATTAACAGGCTGAAAATGAACTAAGTCTGGCAAGAAAAATGGTGCAATGGAGACCATGGGAGCCTTTAGTGGAAGAGCCTCTTGCCAACCAATGGAAATGGCCAATATAAACATCATTAAATGACTTGTGTGTTTATGGGAAACTGATGTAATTAAATATTCTGTTGTATTAAAAATATTTCCATATTATTGACATAATCAAGAAAACTGATACAGAACATATACAGGAGACTTGATAAAATCGTTGATTATGTAATAGGGACTTGTGAATCGGTTTTTGATTTGTAGAGCATTCATTCAAATTATTTCAAAAATATTTTTTAAGACAGAAATGTTGTGGGAAGATTTGAAAGTTAATTGGAAAAATTCCTATAGATCTCCAATGCAGGGGCCATATTCAAAAGGTGAAGTATTTTTAGTAGTATCTTCAACACATCATTTAATTTTTTTTTATTCTGAAAAAACATAAAAGGTACTTAATTATTATTATTGTTTAAACAAATTTATAGGTCACTGTTTGAAGTGAAGTAGTAAGAAAAATACCTATCAAATTAGAATTCATTGTACACTTGAGAAAATTGATTTGGTATTTGAAAGAAAAATTTTTATTTATAGTGGTAGTTGGAAAAACTTTTCCTTTTGTCTCATTTTTAAGGAAGTTAGCTTTCTGGCCCTTTGCCTTTAGTTTTCTTGATCAACTGAAGTACAGTAGGATAGAGATAGAATTTCTGTAAAAGAAGAGACACTAAGAGTTCTTAAAGTTTATCTGACTTACAGATAGGCTTATATTCAAAACATCTTAGTTGTATGGTTATAACTTCAAAGTGGAATCATTAAGTAGTTTTCACTAATTTCCAATATGAGTGCAGCTGGGTATCAAACAAGATAAATGCTATTCAAAGAAAGAAGCAGTTTGGTAAGTTTAAGGTTAAACAAAAATAAAATTACTTTTCATATGTCCTCACCTTTTCTACCTAGCCTCCTATCATTTCTATGTATTTAAATTTGGTAGTTCTTACCTTCAAAGATAAGAACAAAGTACTTTTATTTTTGTGTGTGTATGTGTGCATGTATATATGTGTTTTGCTATCTCTTGTGGCCAAACAGAACCTTTTAGAATTTTTGGAATGAGGGAAAAAAATGTATTTTTCTTTTTTTCCAATATTTCTCCCCTTATATAGTTGTAAATTGAATGCTAAAGGAATATTTAAAGTGGATTGAGTTAATTTTTAGCAGTCAGACTGCAAGAGGACGCTTCTGTGTGGGAAGTGGGAAAAGCATTTGGGGACGAGTCCAGGGGCTCTCATTCCCAGGCTCTAGCACTACTGTGAACTCAGTGACTAAGTCGAGGCATGTGGTCAGTTTCTCAAAAGAACCTGTTTATTTCCTTCTCTGTAAAAGAAGTTGAATTTATGATTTATATCTTCCTTTTCAGTTCTAACCATTTGCTTTAATATATAATTTTACTGAGGTCAAAATATATGATCTTAAAGCATGTTTGCATAGGTGCTTTAAAGCTATTTTTCTGGCCAACAATTTTTTCAGGTCCTTTGGTTACATGAAAACAGAAAGATGACTTGATACATACTTCCAGCTCCATTTCTCCCTTGATCCTTGGCATCTTATATATTTCACCACCAGAGCTCCTGTGGCTGTTAATAAAAGGGGACCTTATATGATGTTTACATTAGAAATTAAAATGCTAGTTGTAGAATAGCAGTAGTAGTCATAGTAATAATAATAATGACTGTTTGTTAATAGAAAAGGCAATTTTCTAAGTACTTGACTAATGTTACTCATTAGATCTGCATTACAACTCTTTAAGAGTGAGATCCTGCAAATTTTTCCAGAAAAAGAAACCAGAATTCAGTTGCAAGTAGTGCTCCCCTGCAATTAGGCAACATGGGGACCCTGGAGAAACTGAGGCAAAGAGACAGTGTAATAACATACCCAAGGTTACATAGTAAGATGTGGAGCTAACTTTTGAACCTAGACAGTCTTGCTCCAGAACTCATGCTCCTAAACATTATATTTTTTTTATGAATATTCTTGGGATGCTGTCCTTCCTCCCTGTACTGGTTGGACTGCACCAAAAGAATGTAGATCTAAAAAAAAAAGAATGTAGATCTGCTTTCTTAACTTTTTCTGTCAAAGTACCTATAAAAAACTAAAGTAATAAACTGGATTTCATTTTGTACAGAAATCTTCATATGAATCATAGGCAGATAATGTTAATGGGATAGGTATTTTAAAGACATCACTGTGTGGTCCACTCTTTTACACTTCCTAGCTGCCATTCCAACTGCCCCTATAATCTTACACCTGATTGTTATGGCTGCAGATGTTTTCCAGGTGCTTTTTATAAACTTCCAGATTAACCTTTCCTGATCTGTTGCAGCTGATTCTTCTATTTAAAGATCTTCAGTTGTTGCTGAGTGGCTTCTAGACTAATTTGAGTAGTTTTCTGAGTGGCCCATTTCAGTCTCCCTGGGCTCCTCATAGGTCTCATTCAAGTAAATCACCCTAATCCAGGCACCTCAAGAAAAAGAAGCTAATCGGTTTGAGCTTTGCAGACAAAGAAGAAAGTAGCAGCAAAGTGATGCCCCCTTTTTCCAGTCTGTGGACTGAGTGCAGAATATTCAAATTTCTGGCATTCTTTCCTTTGGGATGAAAATGGCTTATATCTAGGATAAGCATATAATTATTCATTGTGTAATGATTGTGAGAGTGAAAGGAAGTGTGATAAGAATAATAGGTATAAGCCATGGCTATCCTGGGCACACAGGATATGGCTCAGCCTTGAGTGTTGCCATCCTTACTGATCAGGAGAAGCTGGGAAGTTGTCTGCCTTTCTGAATACAAAGGATATGATGCCAGCAGTGGCAGCCATCATGTGCCGCCAGACCTCAGGTGTCATTTTGCGTCTTCCCCATTATTCCACTCCCTGACTCCTTTCCCTCAGAATTGAGGATGGAAGTAAGGAAGCTTATCTCTGTTTTAATTTCCTTTTCTAATCCTAAAGTATAGTTAGAGAAGTGAAGCTAATTGAGCTTTTTTGTGGTTACAAGGCAAAGCAGATTTATTTTTGAGCACAGCAATGAAGATTAGGGTACTAGATAAAAAGGAAAGCAATCTTCTGTCAAATCTATCAAGTGGAGAAGATCAGGCAGCTTACATTATTCTTGTGATGCTGGTGGGTGCAGGGGTGAGCAACCTGTCAGCCTCCATTTCTGAGCTGGAGGGGCCCCAGAGGCCCTGAGGCCAGCTCTCTTAAGTGCAAGGGTCCCTGAGGGCTGCCTCGTCCACATTTGCAAAGTGGAGTGCAGGGCAACTTCTCCCCGGGTCAACCCAGCTGGTCAACCTAGCCGGTTTGCCTGCCTCTCACTTGGGTCCAGGTGAGAGCTTCCTCAAATCCACATGACTCTTGTCACCAGATTCTTAAGTAGCTGAATTTAGGACCTACTACAATGGGAAGACTTGCTGTGTTGCCTTCAGAAGTTAAGTCTCTTTACCTGATGCTTCATCAGGCTTTTCAAATGGGCCTTCCCACTGGGCCAGCTCTTCTAATTCCTTCTAACAGCCAAGACAGTATTCCAGAGTCTGTGTTCTACTGTTTACCCAGGAACTCTCCCATGAAATTGAAGATCACTTTCATTTTTCTCAAAAAGCCAAGATCTTCAGGTCTTGCAGGACCTTGCCTACCGTGTTCTCCAACTGAAGAGAGGACTGACTAGAGCTTGAACCCTTGCCACGTCCCCAGTTATCTATATCAGGCTTCTTAATCACTGGAGGGCAGTTTGCTACTCTCACATTTTTTCTTCAAAGGGAGAAAATCAACAGTGCTCCATCGAAGAAAATTCCCACATATAGGTTAATATCAGCCTTTTCTTTTTACTCCCACTCTCAAGGGCTATATAGACAAATGGAAGTTAAAGGAACTGCCTATGCAAGTGTGTTCTGGGGTCTAGGGTAAAGCAACGAATCACCAAACATACCATGAGTAGTATTTTGCATCTTAGGTCAGAATTTCCTTTGAAACTCAGTACTTGGTGGGATGGCAGCCTATACTACAATTACAATGGAGAAAAAAGTAAATGAGAAGATAGGAGTTTGGTTTAGAGGAGAATGAAGAGGTTTATTTTCAATAGAATTCACAAGAAATTGTAGGGGAGCAAAACTTGCCACCCCAATACATCTGTGGTATGCAGATTATTTTGAGCTGAAAACAATCAAGGCCTAAAAGACTCAGGAAGAAATTTTGAAGGAAGCTATCACCATACATAAGTATAGTATGAACTAGGTGTATAGACAGGGAGGAACCTAGCAAAGTCTGTTAAAACTTCCGTGTTCCATTGTCTCTGCATGGCCCAGCAAACATTTATTTACCAAACATTCGCTCTTCTATATCCTTGTGAAATGCCTTCCTCCCCTCTGAAGTCCCAAACCACTACCCATAACATCCTCTTGTCTTTAGCTAAAGATGGTATTTAATGTGAGGGTTTCAGCCACTTTGGTGAGTTACTCAGCCTTCCTGGGTCTCTCCCATGTATGTGTTATTAAAATTTGTGTGATTTTCTCTTGTTAATCTGTCTCATGTCAACTTACTTCTTTGACCAGGCAGAAGACTCTGGAAGGGTAGAGGAAAATTTCTTCCCAACAAAATCAAAGTGGGAATGTGATACAGAAATTGAATTATTGATGGGGACTGAAGAAATTTTTTCGAATGTTTTCATTTAGAGGTAATTAGCCAAAACTCTCCTTAGTGAAGGAAAATATGAGAAAAATAGTGAATTAGAATAGGCTACCCCTAAATCCCAGTGTCTTAATACAACAAAAGTTTGTTTCTTATTCATATTACATGTCTAATGAGGGTCGACAGTGCTCAAAAGAGTCACACAATGGATCTGGGCTGAGAATGATGACATTTCAACACGTGGTTTCATAAACAGAGGCAGGGGAAAGGGAACATGGCAAATCATATATAGAAACAAGAAATAGAAAACCAAAGTTAAAAAAAATTTTTTTTGGAATGTAGTATAGAACTCATAAATTTAACTTGCCACACATTGCTAACATAGAGTTTTCAAAGTGGCCTTTTGTTTTATATTAGTTGCTTATTTTTTGTTGTGTGCGTACATGATATGTATGGTCAATTAGCTTCTTTCTATACATGACTAAATGAAAAGCATTGCAGAGATTCTTTTTTGAGATTTCTCATAATCTTCAAATATGTTGGTTTCTTTTTCAGGTAAACATTTTAGGCATTTCTAAAGGTAAACATTACTATTTTATGATAATATTTCACTTAACTC